TTGGCTGCATGCCAAAAGAAAACCCCAAATAATGGTGATTTATACACCCTCAGTTCCAGTCTCTTTTGTAAAACCAGTGCCCGAGAGTTAGGCAGGCAGTCCAGAGATGGTCTGGTAGCTCCTTCCAGAGCTCTGCTCCACCACTCCTGGAGTATAGCCCTTGTCCTCACTGTTGAAGATGGCTGCTAGAGCCCTACCCATCACATCTGCATTCCAGTCAGCAGGATGGAGAAATGGATGAAGAAAAGGGCAGCAAAGGGCACACTCTAGCATTCTTATAAGTTTGTTTATAGCATGTAACAGATACATAACACATCTGAAGGCATTTTTACTTACTCTTGTGGCTTCGTTATCCAGCAGCATATGAGGCTTGAAAATGCAATCTTTATTTTCTTTTTTAAAAGAGTTTAAAAAGATTTTGAAATGTTTATTTATTTTAGAGAGAGAGAAAGGAAGAGGCAGAGAAACATAGATGTGCGAAACATCGATTGGTTACCTCCCACCTGCATCCTGATTGGGGACCTAGGTATGTGCCCTGACTGGGAATCAAACCCCCAACCTTATGGTGTATGGGATGATGCTCCAACCAACTGAGCCACCCAGCCAAGGCATGGTCTTTATTTTCAGTAGGCAAGTTCTCAGCTAAAAATTGGGGCTCTAATAGTAAGAAAGAAGAAATTAAACAGATACTGTAGTAAACTATTGATTTATGTCATGGTTATATATAAAAATTCAGCTACTCTTCTACCCCCAGCAGTCACTATTAATATTTCTTGAATATCTGGAAAAGGACTCCTCTTTTGTTCAATATAGTTTTTTCCACTCAGCCAAGAGTTGCCATGATATGCCTCCACTCTACCCTTAGTAATTTGCTAGTCCTCTTCTCTCTCATTTGATACTCACAAAAGCTCTATGAATGACTCCCATTTTACAGATGACGAAAACCGAGGCCCAGAGAGCTAAATTGACTTTGCCAGTAGTTGCACAGTAAAAAGATGGAGCTAAGCCTCCTGCTGAGATGGTATAAGGTAGACAGTGTTTCATAACTTCAAGGAGAAAGTCTCAGTTTGGTGCTAATGTGTCTTTAACTCCTCACATATATACTAAGAAGTCTTTTAAATAAGGGGGCAGCCCTCAGGCTCTTTCGGCAGGCAAAGTATATAGCCAGGTTCTAAGAATATTGTTTTGGTTTCATTATACTTATATTTACATAAATAGTTTATTTGTAGCAAATAATCTTGGTTCCTTTTCTTTGATAGTGTAAAGCTTACTTTGTAAGTAAATGCCTCTATTTTTAAAAATGTCTATTCAAAGAAAAACATTAAGACCTGCCTCGATTTGAATGCAGACCCCACCACTTACTAACCATGTGGCATTGGATATGATACTTGATCCTTCTGAGCCTCAGTATCCTCATCTGTAAAACACAGACAATAATTTTTAGCACCTCATAGATTTTGTTATGAGATTAAATGAAATCATGAGTGTCAGAAGCTTACCACCTTGGCACATAGCTCAGAACTCAAAATTATTTGCTAACATTATAATCACATTACTAACAATATTAATATCATTAATCTCCATTTTGTCACAACACCTCGTGGCTTCTTGGAGCGGGGGAAGCCAGTGGGCTGTCATTGTATAGACATGCCCCATCCAAGGGCCCCCATACCTAGCCTAGGCACATACCTAGGTCCCCAATCAGGATGCAGGTGGGAGGTAACCAATCGATGTTTCGCACATCTATGTTTCTCTGTCTCTTCCTTCCTCTCTCTAAAATAAATAAACATCTCCCCTATACCAGTGGTTCTCAACCACGGACAATTTTGTGCCCCAGGAGACATTTGGCAATGTCTGGAGACATTTTTTATTATGACTGGGACTGGGGGTACCACTGATACATTGTGGGTAGAGTCCAGGGATGATGCTAAACATCCCACAATGCACAGGGTGGCCCCCTGCCATGAAAAGTTATCAGAAAGCATCAGAAATGCTGCCGTGGAGAACCCCTACCCCATGCTGCACCCTGCACGTGTGCCTTGCTTGCAGCAGCCTGTTCTTCCGCCAGCTGATTATTTTCAAAAGAGACTTGAACTTGGACTCCAAAGAACTCAGCCTCATCTTCCTCATCCAGCAAATGGGGATGCTGAAGGCTGTCTTGCCTGTAGTCATCCCATCTCCTGATGGTTGAGCCTCTTGGTCACTTTCCTGGTTGAGGCTGTCCCTAGTGGTCTTTTCCTCTCTTCCCTGAGGTCCAGGGAAGCCCATCTGGTTGGCTTTCCTTCATTTGCTTGATTTCTGATGTTCCGCATTCCCAGAGTAGTCTTTGGGGCCACAGAGTCAACACCTAAAACCCTGAAGAGCAAAGGAGGCAGAGAAAGAGGTGGGCGAGAGGCTCGCCTGCCAGCATCCGCTGAGCACCCTGATACTCAGGGTCTCAGCCCCTAGTGTGTTTTCTTCCAAGCACTGTGTGTGGACTTGATTTCATTCCTCCCCACACACCTCTGCTCCCTACCTCCGAGACCATTTCTGCCAGTGTTCCCGGCGCGCTGCTCAGAGGGTGGCACTCAGAATTTATACGTGAAATGCGCAAAGGGAGAGCTAGGGAAAGGGAAGGGCCGAGGGATAGATACAGAGAAGGAAGAGATGGGAAAAAAGGAAGAGAAGAAGAGGAGGAGGGATGTTGAATAAATGTTAAATGCTGAGAGTTGACCACTAGCCCCGCAGAGGGAGAGGGGGTTGGGAAGAGACAGGTGCAAAGAGAGAAGGATGAGAAGGGTGGAGAAAGAAAGGAAAGGAAACACGCGCGGAGGTGGGGGGGCCGCGTAAGGGGTGAGGCAGAGAGAGCCAGACAGACAGAGAGGACGTGCAGGCGCGGAGCCAAGGGGAGGAAGCCACGTTGAGAGCGGAGCGCCGGGTTGCAGAGGGTTCTCTCTGACCGGCGGCAAGAGCTGGAGCGGCGCGGCTGGGAGCTCGGGACGCTGGATCGGTTTTTCTCGAGACAGGGAACGCTCCCGAGGCGGGAGAGGAGACACTGCACCCCGAGGGGAGGGCTGGCAAGGAGGCGGAGAAGCTCGCTAGGTTTGCCCTCGCCCCAGGATCTTTCCTTTTTCCTGCCCTTTGCTGCGGGGTGGGGAGGGGTAGCGTGGGCGGGCGGGAGCGCGGCGCCGACGGCGGGTGCCCGGCTGCGCGGAGTCTGCTCCTTCTCTCTCATTCCTGCCCCCGCCCCCCGCCCCGAAGTTTGATCCTCCTCCCCTCTTCGATAGGGTCCTGGAGGGCTTTGCCAAGTGTCGGGGATATTTGGGGAGAGGGATGGGTCAAGCTTTCTCCGTGGGCTCCTGCTCTTTTCCCGCCGAGTAACTGCACGAGTATCTCAGGGTTTAGTCTTTGAGCCTTCGCTTCAGTTTCCGTAACGTCCAGTCTCAGGGATTTGCATGCTCACAGCTCCCAAAGTTACCTCTGCAACACTGATCTCCCACCCCGACCCCCGCTCCCCGCTCCATCTGGGTGTCCAACGGGCATTGTCAAACTTGTTGAATTCTTTAAGGCGCCCGGCGCGGCCTCGCCGCAGGCCTCTGCGTGTGCCCCGCCCTCCGCAGGAACCCTCCGCGCCCTTAGGCGGCCGTCCATGCCGCTGGAGCTGAGCGTCCCGTTGAAGGAGGCCAGCGCTGCAGAGGGGAGGAAGCCCTGCTAGAATGTGTGTGATCACAGTGCTGTGCTGGATGGAGCCCTGCAGCAGCCTGAGGAACGCGACCGAGGGGCGGCGGGGACGCTATCGGTCGCTCGGAGGGCGGGTGAGGGCAGAGGGAGCCGAAAGAGAAAGGGAGGGAGGGCCTCCACCTCCCTGTCAGGCAGGAGTCTGGGGCCACGGGAGGAAGGTGGCAAAGCTGAGGGTCCCTCCCTCTCCTGGGGGCTAGGTGGGCCTCGTGGACGGGTGGGCAGAACTGACCGTCTCCCCGCCCCCCTTTGTCATTACTGTCATCTAACACCCAGGTTAAACACCCCGTGGGCTGGCGTGGGACCTTGCGGTCTCAGACACAGTAACCCAGTCGCTGGCGGGACCATCAGACGCTAAGAGGGCAACGGCAAACCGCACAGTCACAGGTCACGTGCCCGCCAGCACTGCACGGGGAGGCGCCGAGGTCACAGCCTCTGGGGCCTAATGAGCCTGGTTGGTTCTGATTGGTCATATGGGGTGTGTGCCCCCTCTCTGAGCCAATCAGTTATCAGAGAAATACAATGTGCTGATTGGCTCACATTTGAGTCCCACCCGACTACGCTCAACACTGGGAAGAGCCCCAGAAATTTACCAAAGTGGGTCACTAAACCCGGAGGGAGTAGGTGCCAAAGAGGGAAGAGCAGGGGCCCGTTTTGATTCAAATGCTCTTTCTGGCCTTGCTCCTTCTCCCCTCATCTGAAATCAGGCCCTCTCATCCCCAAGTATTTCCTTATTTGTGATTATTATTTTAATCCGTATGACTAGTTTTGATAATAATAACTAACAGATCCAGGGTCAAACCCTATAGTTTTCACCCCTGTCTGTTCTCTGAGTACAGTGCTCAACTGTGTGAGTGAGAATATGCATTTCCAGCGTCTTGATGGAAGAAAAATGGCGCTCAGTAAATGTTGTTGAATGAACGACCTAAATACATTGTGATGAGGATGGGAGAGGGTAAATATGGCCAAGATGCTAAAGGGAGCTATGGGGGGGGAGGGGCCGTTTGCTATTTCCTCATATTCCTGGACGGCTTCCTGGAGGAGGAGTGGACTGGGTGGGGGCGCGAAAGGGCCTTGTGGGTTCCGGAAAGCGTCTGCTCTACGAGGCAGTAGGTCATCCCAGGCCCTAGAGTTTCTGGAACCGACAGGAATCGGTTAACCAGATCTTGGGTTGATGAGCGGAGTGAGTAGTGTTTCTGGGGGGTCCTCGGGCTCTGAGAAGTAACCATCCTCTTCTCTCCTCCTTCCTGACCGCGGCGGGGCTGGGCCTGGCGCCCCCTCAGCTCTGTGCCTCGTGCTGGGCTGCATGATCTTCCCCGACGGCTGGGACGCCGAGACGATCCGGGACATGTGCGGGGCCAAGACCGGGAAGTACTCCCTGGGGGACTGTTCGGTGCGCTGGGCGTACATCCTGGCCATTATCGGCATCCTCAACGCCCTCATCCTCTCCTTCCTCGCCTTCGTGCTGGGCAACCGGCAAACAGACCTGCTTCAGGAAGAGCTCAAGCAGGACAACAAAGGTAAATGCGCCTCCACTTCCGGGGGCGGGGCGGGCCCGCGCCCTCAGAGCGGGGCAATTTCAAAGTCAGTAGTGCAGCAGAAATTGGGAATGGTACCGACAGTAGGATCACCTAGAAGACAATTTGACGTTATCCCTTAGAGCCGAACATCTGCGTGCCTGTGACCCAGCAAACCAACCCGTTAGTATAAACCCTTGGGAAACGTGCAAGAATGATCTTGGCAGCAGTTTTAAATTAGAAGACAACTAAAAGCAACCCTGATGGCCATTGACAGGAGGATGGATGAATAAATGGTGATATATTCACATTACAGAATAGTTCATAACTGAACATGAATGAACTTCATTTATAGTAACAGAATGGGTAGGGCTGGAAACATACTATTGGGGAGGGGAGGATCAAGTTCCAGAAGATGACACAATACGATTTATTTAGTGATTGATTTTAGAGAGAGGGGGTGGGAGAGAGAGAAATATCAATTTGTTGTTCCCCTTACTTATGCATTCATTCATTGATTCTTGTATATTCCCCGTCTGGGATCAAACACACAACCTTGGCGTATGGGGGCAATGCTCTAACCAACCGAGCTATGCGGCCAGGGCCAGCACAGTGAGATTTTTACTGAGCTCAAAAACCAATAATCACTAAGCAATGTATAGTTTAAATATACATATATTTATAGTAATAATGTTTTTTTAAAGCAAAGAAATGAGAAATACAAATAGTAGAATAGTGGTTGTATGTGTTTGGGATGGATGGGGGAAGCCAGCAGCAGGAGACGGTGGACAGGTAGGTGTGTGCAAATTATTGGTAGAGTTACAGTTCTTGAATTGTGCTTCATATGTAGTATATTGCATATATTGTATATATCAAGTAACATTCAAATACAATACAGAAAACTTATACATAGGCCAGAGCCTCAGGGGCCACCGCTGTTGCCGGAGGCTTATCTGCGCATCCTCAAACCCCCCTCAGATCACTGTTTGCGCTCCGCTCTGGAGCATGTCGTAAGATTTCTGTTTATTGTTTCATGCAGGACCATTTTGCCTTTTGTATCCAGCGCTAAGCATTACATAAAATAAAGGAACGGTACTCTTTTATCATTCTCCTTTTAGGGACTATTAGTGAAGTTTCCAGGTTTTTACTATTACTGACAATGATACAATGAACATCTTTGTCTCTGTCATTTTATACACAAGTATCTTCTTGGTGTCTTTCCAGAAGCGAAACTGCACATACCGTTGACATAGTGCCAGATCCCTCTCCACGGGAGTGTCAGTCTTCTGACCCAGGGGCCCGCCCTGCCCCCCTGAGCAAGGGGAAACACCGCACGGCATCAACGGACAGACCCCTGTCTGTCTGCGTGTGTGTTCTCTGCCAGAAGTCGTAGTCATTTACATAGTCACACCCTTCCTCGAGCTATTAGCATGAGCTGGGTCTGTGTTTAGCACTTCCCTTTAATTATATTTATCTCTTGGAGCTTCTCATCTATAAAACAGAGATAACGGTGGTGAGGACTACCTCATTTGGCAGGAGGTACTTAGTATTGCGGAGGAACCCTTGGACCGCGAAGACAGATTATGTTGGCAGCAGGCTGAGCTAAGAAGTGACCACTTCCTGAAGCCTCAGTTTCCTGCACTTCATAAAATGAGTGTGGTGAGAATGTAGTACTTTATAGAGCTGTCCTATGAGGAAGAAAGAAAGATTATGCCTATAAATGGGCATGTAGTGAATGCTCAGTAAAATCTGCCACTCCTCTTAACTCCGCATCAGGCAGGCATCGTGATCAACATTTTACAAATGAGAAAGCCAAGGTCTGGAGAGGTTCAGTCATTTGCCCATAGCCACCTAAGTCGTGGAGCCAGAATTTGAGCCCAAGTCCACGTCCAAATGCCAGGTGCTTCCCCACTGCCTCCCCACTTTTCAGGCCCTCCTGGGCTGCTGGCTGCTAATCTAAATTTTAAGCCTTCTACCCTGGACACCTTGATCCCCCGTGGCTTCTGTGGTCTTGGTATGAAGTCAGGGCCTGCCCTCTGGTGGCAGCATCTGGAAGTGCATGTCTAAGCCATCTGCTCTTTCCAGAGGAGCTTGGTTGGGGTTGTGACTGGCTTGAGGTAGGCCCACTCAGCGTCCTCTCCTCCCCAAGAGCCCTAACACCTCAGTGTTAAAAATGACATCAGCACCCAGGGATCTCCATCCCTCACTACGAGTTCAAGATGAGTGAGTTCAGTTCTAAGCCAAAGACCTCTGGAACAAAAGTAAAAAATAAAATAAATTGCTGTAATTTCCAGCATTTAGTATGTGCCAAACACTGTGCAGAGTCCTTGACTGGCGTTCTTTATGTCTTTCTGACCCATAGAAGCACCTTGTGAATAAAGCTGTTCTGCCCGCTTGCAGATGAGGAAGTTGGAACTCAGTAAGGTCCAGTGGCCTGCTCAGGGCCATCCCGCTGGTCAGAGGCCTGGGTGGGATTTCAAAGCTTACACAGCTCACCCCTCTGCCCAGCTGTGCCCTGAGGATTGGCCGAGGGGAAGTCCAATGCCCTAGTGGTCTCTGACTTTCTCCAATTCTCTCTCTCTCTCTTAGATTTTGTGAGCTCCACAGTAAGCTCCGTGTTGCGGCCAGGGGGTGATGTCTCCAGCTGGGGAGTCCTCCCCTGCCCCGTCGCTCATTCACAGGGACCCTGAAGGCCAGGATCACAGCCCAGGAACTGACCTGCCCTCTGCGTGTCCCATCTTTTGCCCTCTCACCCTCCATTCAAGCTAGGAGGGAGGATCCCAATCTCGGACTGACTTCTCACCTGCTACCCGCCTGCCAGCTCCAGACTTTGAAGAGATGTTGGGGCTGGGTGTGGTCTGGGGGAGGGGAGAGGCTCTGTGCACCCTGGGAGGGCCTGACTTTGCCCCTCCCTCAACTGTCCTAAGGGAGCTGGACATCCCTTGGGGTCCCCTCCCCTCTCCCCGCCTGGCCTGGGGGCTCTGCAGTCTTCAGGGGAAGGAGGCACTGTGATTCTAGTACTCCAGGCTCCCTCAGGCTGGGAGCTGCTGCCTGGCTGTATCCTTGCCTCCTCTGGTCCCCGCCTCCCGCATAAACTTACTCAAGATACTGCCCTAGGGCTACCAAACTCTTTCCTACTCTTTTCTTTTTCTTTTCTCTTTTCTTTTTTCTTTTCTTTCCCTTCCTTTCCTTTCCTTTCTTTCCTTCCCTTCCTTCTCCTTCCTTCCTTCCTTCCTTCTTTTTTGCCTACGATGGTTCCATCACATCTTTGCAGAGCTCCAGGCCTCCCCAGGGCTGCTCTGCTTCCGCTCCAGGGTGCTCCCAGCTCTCCCAAAGGAGTCTGAGCTGCACCGAGGGAGAAAGCACAGGGCCTCCCTGTCAACTGGCGCCCTGTTCAGCCCAGAGCCTGAGAAAAGACAGACAGGCTCTGAGGCAACTGGAGGAGATACTCGTACTCTGGGCAGCTGGGGCTTGCCTGGCCTCTCTGCTGGAATGTCTCACCACTGACTGGACCCTTGACCCTGGCCTGTTTTGTACAGCACAGACTCCTTGGCCCTGTTGTTAGGGTTGGAGGTTGGGGAGGGGACCTAACAGTGGGGCATTAGGGGAGATATTATCCCCCTGCCTCTTCTCATGCCACCTGACCCTGGCATTTGCTAAGGGCAGAGACTGTCTTGCCTCTTTGATACTTTTCTGCATAACTTGAACTTGCAGGTCACCTCTGAACAGGGTACCCCCTGTCCCCGTCCCCAGGCCTTGTAACCCTGTCCCCACCTCTTCCTCCTCCTTGCCCACCTCTCGCCTTGGGATATGGCCAGGGTCTGTGGCCCAATGGGCAATGCTTCGAGCCGAGGCATGAGTGTGTGTGTGTGTGTGTGTGTGTGTGTGTGTGTGAGAGAGAGAGAGAGAGAGAGAGAGAGAGAGAGAGAGTGTGCCTGTGTAAGTATGTGGGGAGTCATCTCTCCCCCTCTCCTCCCGCTGTGGGAAGCATTTCCTTCCTGCTTGGCAGGGAGCAAATAAGGGAGACTTCCAGGTGTTTCTGGACTCCCCTCATTGCTGCTGCCACATGGACCTGGCGGTAGAGCCACCCTTTCAGGCTCAAGTTCAGGAGGCAGGTGGGCCTCCCCCAGTGTGCCTGCTTCTGTCTGCGGGGTTCTGGCTGCCGGGCCCACTGGAGAGGAGCGTGAGGCCCCGCCATTTTGTTTTGTTGGCCTCAGCCAAAGAAGGGGGAAAAAGCAGCGAGTGCCATGTATTTGCCAACCTTGTGTTCATTTCCATCGGACTTGAACCTGAGAGGGAGAGTTTTCAAGAGAGACTCTAGAAATCCTCTGCCCGAGTCCCCCATCTGGGCCTTAACTGGGAGCGGATGCTGGGTCCTGGTAGGATTCCGGAAACCTGGAGCTTCCCAAGTCCTGATCCCCCTCCCCCCACCTTCTCACTCCCTCCTCCTGGGCAAACAGCTTCCCTGTGCTCTGCTCAGCACCGGGCACTCCCTCTCCTGCTCCTACCAAGCCTTGCACTGTGGTCCCCTGCTGGCAACTTCCCCAGCAGGTGGGGCTGGACACCAGGGTCCCAGATGAAAGAGAAGGGGGCAGGGAGCCCTGTGGGAGGGAGGGAGTCAGGGGCAGGTCCACACCCAAGCCCGGTGTTGAGAGGCTTCGAGGGCGGGGTGGGAGCAAGTGATCGGGAATGGGGAGAAGATAGACGAGGGAGAAAGACTAGAAGAGACCGGAGAGAAGGAGCTGCAGAGGGAGAGACAGAGCAAGGAGGGGGGGCGGGAGTGTCCAGAGAGGTGCAGAAATGGAGAAAGGAGGGGGGAGAGCGAACAAAGTGTACCCAGAGGGACAGAGAACCTGGGGTGGGAAAGGAGAGGGGACTGGAGAGATGAAAGAAGGGATTAGTGTTAGGGAAGGAGGCAGATGGAGAGAAGGGTCGTGGGAGCGGGGGTACAGGGAGAAATGAAGGGGGAGGAGATGAGGAGGAAGGCAACAGGGCGCTGAGGAATAGGGGAGCGCTGCTGTGTGCGCTGTGCGAGGGGACTGCCCAAGGGGCCACCCGACCCCTGGGCCTTGTGGGGAGGTTAGAGCCTCCCTCCTCAGAGGCCAAGGACAGGGGCCCAGGCAGCCAGCACCTTCATGTCCAGGGAACGGCCCAGACACGGCTGAGCGCGTAAGCACCACTGGAGTAGGTGAGTGGTAGAGAAGAGGGAAGTTGATTCCCCTGGGGCGGTCTATTCCGCCAGCTGCTGCCCTGGCAAAGAATGTGGGGGTTAGGAAAGCAGGGCTGGGTGGGCTGAAGGGACAGCAGGGTGATAGGGGGAGGAAAAGAGGTCAGAGTGGGGGCCAAACCATGGCTCTGTCCCAGAGGCTTCCGCCAAGGTTGGGACAGAGATGGTAACAGACGCTTCAGCCAGGGCCCCCAGGGAAAGCCGAAGTGTGGCCCCATGTGGCCCGGATGGCTCCTGGGACAAGGAAGCCATAACGGCCAGGGGACATTTGCGCCATGCCCTTACCCCAGACAGGCCTTCGGGAGGAGATGGAAGGAGAAGAGATGTCTCTTGCTTTCTTGGTCCCTGAAAGCTGAGCTTTGAGTGGGTCTCTGAGGTACCTCTGCCCTGACCGCCTGGATCAGAGGGGTCTGGTGCTCCCCAGATTTCTCTGTCCTGGTCTGGGGACTCCTTCGGGATAGACCAAAGTGCCCACATCTTAGACATGGGTCAGAGTGCACAGGTTGGTCAAGTCCTTCTGGGTCCCGGGGATGTGAAAACTTTCCTCTTTGGGGACCAGTACCCATGGAGGAAAACACTGTTTTCCTGAGGGTGTGAGGACCACAGGCAGAATCAAGATCCTTTTCATGCCTGGAAAAGCCAAGACATTGGGAGCTTATAGACAAGGCTGTGGGAGAAAATTCCTTGCCTTCTTTTGAGATTCCTGCTTGGACCCAGGGGAATCTCCTTTTTCCAGTTTCCAGTGCGGGCTGAGAAAGGGAGGCCCTCTCTTTGAAGAAGCTGAGGTATTCCCAGCACAAGAAATTTCCACAGGCCCCTGCCTGGCTCAGGGCTAGCCTTTGAAGGGGACTGCAGTTTCCTGAGAAGGGGACAAGGGAGCCACAGTCCTTCCCAGAGCTCTGACCAGCAGACCTCAGAGGGCCTGTGCTGTGTGACGTTAGGGTAGCTTGGTGTTGTCTACGCCCCATTAGTAAGTTCTGTCTGAATGTGTCCTCACTGTTCATTGTCCAATTTGGTAACACTTATTTCGGTCCAGACCCCTTCTGCTGCTGCTGGATTTGAGCTTCAGTACAGGTGGAATGATGTTCAAATAAAGAAACACTTTATATCACCCATGCTGGCTTCTCCTTCTCTGAGTCGGCCCCCAGGAGATCAAGAGGGGTGAAATTCATCCTGATTCCTCCTATCAGGTTTGGCTACATATTAACAGAGCTCCACCATCCGACTTGACAGCACTGTTTATTTTCCCGTCCTGTGAAGCCAGACCATGGCCACTGTGGCCCACATTGTGACCCGTGCCACTCCAATCCTGGCTTCCGGCCTCAAGGGCAACCTCATGCCCCAAACGGACTGCTGGGCCTCTGGTCACTTGGTTCACAATTTCATTTGAAGGAGACTTCTAGAAACTCCGTAAGACTGAATCACAGAGCACACCTAGCTGAAAAGTAGCCTGTTAACTGGGCACATTGCCACCCCAAATAAAATTGGGGTTCTGTTACCAAGGGAAAAGAGAGAATACATGGAATGGGCAGCTGGCTGTCCCTCCACATGCCTGACTGCATAGGCTTGACTTTGGACTCAGGACTCTGACTAGAACAAACAAGGCTCCCCGCTCTTCTACCTCTGTGGCCTTGGACAAGCTCCTTCACCTCTCTCTAAATCCCCACTGAATGAATGGGGATGATGATAGTGATCCTTAGGAAGTTGTGGGGGAATGTATATGGATTGCTTCCTAGTGTCTGCCACATTGTAACATGCCCTGTAGGGCAGCTTTGTTGATTATAACTTTTGCTCTTGGGAATTGTGTGCACTCAGTATAGACCAAGCACTTAAGGAACAAAAACAGAGGTCCTGCCCTGACTTGTGTGGCTCAGTGGATTGAGTACTGGCCTGCAGACCAGAGGGTTGTTGGTTCGATTCCCAGTCAGGGCACATGCCTGGGTTGCGGGTCAGGTCCCCAGTAGGGGGTGCATAATAAGCAGCCACACATGGATGGTTCTTTCCTTCTCTTCCCCTCTGTCTAAAAATAAATAAATTAAATATTAAAAACAAACACACACAGACCCTGACTTCATGGCCAGTCTGGTTGGGGAGATGACATGTAAAAGTTGCTAGGCGCACGGTATTGTGGGTGCCCTGAGTAGGGACACCTTACGTGGTTTTTGGTGGGGTGAATAGAGCTGGGAACATGGGAATAGTAGAATGAATAGGACTTGTGCAGCGTGAGTCAGGAAAGCCACTCATGAAAGAGGAGGCAGCTTGAGGAAAGAGATCAGGGTAAGGCACAGAATGGTCTATGCAGAAAACTAAATGCTGAACGGTAAAGCATGAGGCAGGGAGGGTCAGAGATTAGTCTGGAGAGATGGGCAAAAGCCAGAGGATGACAAAACTCCAGACTTAAGAGCAATGGGGAACCATGGAAGGATTTTAAGCAGCAGAGACACAAGTAGATTTGCATTTCAGAAAAGTCGCTCTGATTGTGGCGGTAGGGGGCTGAATTAGACGGAGACGATTTGATTTTATTCATTAAAAATTTTGTTTATTTAAGAGAGAAAGATCGATTTGTTGTTCCATTTAAAAAAAAGATTTTATTTATTTATTTTTAGAGAGAGAGGAAGGGAGGGAGAAAGAAAGAGAAGAAGAGAAATATCGATCAGTTGCCTCTCATACACCTCCAACCACCTTCAGCGAGGGACCTGGCCCACAACCCAAGCATGTGCCCTGCCCTGGAACCCAACCTGCAACCTTCCCGTTCACAGGCCGGTGTTCAATCTGCTGAGCCACCCCAGGCAGGGCTGTTGTTTCATTTATTTTATGCATCCATTGGTTGCTCCCTGCATGGGCCCTGACTAGGGATCTAACCCGCAAACTTGGTGTATCGGAACGATGTTCTAACCAACTGAACTAGAGAGAGACGATTTTATTAAAAGGGAAATCAGAAGTCTGGCCTGAAGCAAGGTGGTAGCAGTGTCCCTGAGAGGTAAAAAATGTGATATTTAGGAAGTGGAATTGAGGACACTTGGTAACTGATTGTGGGGGTAAAGAATACAGAGTGGCATCAGGAGGACAGTTAAAAAGAAAATTTGCACCTTAGGTGCTGTGGCTCAGTGGATTGAGTCCCGGCCTGTGAATCAGTGTTGCTGGTTCCATTCCCAGCCTATGGCACATGCCTGGGTTGTTGGCCAGGTCCCCAGTAGGGGGCACACAAGAGGCAACCACACATTGATGTTTCTCCCTCCATTTCCCTCTTTAAAAATAAATTTTAGAACAATTTTTAAAACGGAGGAAGGAAAGAAAGAAAGAGAGAGAGAGAAAGAAAGAAAGAAAGAAAGAAAGAAAGAAAGAAAGAAAGAAAGAAAGAAAGAAAGAAAAGAAGGAAAATTTGCCAGTATAGCAGGAGAGCGAGATGATCAGTTCACTTTGAGATATGCTAAGTCTGAGATGCAGGGCAACCTGGTGCAGTTTTCTAGTAGTTAGCTGACTTCTATGGGTCTGAGAGCTCAAGGAAAAGATCTGACCAGAAACATGAGCATACAGGTAATGGTTGAAATGTAAAGCACAGATGAGCTTGCTTAGGGTGACTGTATAGTGTGAAAAGACCATGGGGCTATAGAATGCTGGAAGACCCCAACGTACAAAGGTTGAAGTAATGG